AGAAATTCAACTATTGATAGACAAATGAATGTGGGTCCATTTTATATTTCTTACGGTATTTTTACAACTTGTCTCTGTTTGACATTATGGTAAAGGAAAAAGTTATAAGTAGTATGTGCAAATGTACAAAAGGTTATTGAGAAGGAATCAAGGGGGCCCAACAAATGGAAAGTTATTCCACGTATATGTATTAGAAAACTTAATATTGTAAACATAAATCTCCCAAAATGAATTTAATACAGTGAAAATCAAAAGCACTGGGCATTTTTGTTGAAATTGAAAACATTTTTCTAACTTAGATGGAAAAACAAAGAGGCAAAAAACAGCCATGGTCATCTTACATAAGAAAAACAAGATGGGAGGATTAACACTTCTCGATATGAAAACCTATTAAATAAACATATTGTGGCTGGATGCGGTGATTCATGCCTGCAGTTGCTGCAGGTTGGGAGGCTGTGGTGGGTGGATAGCTTGAGCTAAGGAGTCTGAGATCAGCCTGGGAAACACTGCTACAAAACATATAAAAAAACTTAGCCTCTCATGATGTTGCATGCCTGTGGCCTCAGGTACTTGAGAGGGTGAGGTAAGAGAATTGCTTGAGCCTCGAAGGCAGAGGTTCCAGTGAGCTGAGATCGTATCACTACACTCCAGCTTGGGCAGCAAAGCAAGGCCTTGTCTCAAAAAAAAAAAAAATTGATTATTTTTTTAATTAAAAATTATTGTTTTAGTGAATGGTGAGATAGATAACCCAATGCAATGAGTTAGAGAATCTGAAACCAGTTCTGCATATATATAGTCACTCAATTTTCAGTAAAAGTCCTACAACAATTGTCTCAAAACACTTGTACTGAAAGAAAAAAAAAAACTTTGACTGGGTATTAATTGACAACACAAATTTATTTTCTCACAGTTATGTACATTGGGAGCTCCAGTGTCAAGCCACTGGCAATCTTGGTGTTTAGTGAGGGCTATTCTTGCTCCCAAAACGGCACATCGTGGCTGCATCATCAATGGTGAAGGTGGGAGGACCAAAGGAATAACTATGTGAAGCCCCTTTTATTAGGCATTAATCTTGTTCATGAGTGCAGTGCCCTCATCACCTAATCACCCAAAGGATCTAACTTCTATTACTGCTGCCATTAAAATTCACTTTCGAAAGGAACTTCGGACAGGCACAAACACTCAGACAGTAGCAGTCATTTAGTAGAAAAAATATGATAATTATATTGGATCAATTTGATATCCATATTACATAAAAATGAATCTTTTTTTTGTTTTGTTTTAAAAAAGTCACATTTATTTTCATGCTATACACCTGTGTTTTCATACAATAATTTTAAGTATTATGGCATAAATATTCGTAAGAGAAGCAAGTAAATTTCAACCTAATTTTAAAATAAAGATATATGTTAAGTATCTTTATTGTTTATTAATGCATTTGACATTACCAGATGCTGTCTTTGATGACAAACTTCATTTTCGTACATGGCAGATTTGTCCTTTTGGTACTGAACCGAAGAAAAACACATCACATCTGAAATTCTGCCTTAATAAGTGAGTAAAACCATGGTCAATTACATCAATAGATTTCAGCCAACTAGCAAAATGGAAGTGTTTTAGTCATTCTTATTATTTATAAAAAATGAAACAAGATTAATAGTCAACAGGAGAGAATAGCTAATATCACCAGTTTAAAACAGGTCTTTGACTTTTTTTGAAACAGTGTCTTGCTCTATTTTCCAAGCTGGAGTGCAGTAGCGTAATCACAGCTCACTGCAGCTTTAACCTCCCAGGCTCAAGCTATCCTCCCTTCTCAGCCTTTAAGTAGCTAGGACTACAGGTGCGTGCCATCACGCCTGGCTAATTTTTTATTTTCTGTAAAGATGAGGGTCTCACTATGTTGCCTAGGCTGGTCTCAAATTCCTGGGCTTAAGTAATCCTACCATCTCAGCCTCCAAAAATGCTAGGATTACAGGTGTGAGCCACTGTGCCCAGACTAAAATAGGACTTAAGCAGATTACTTATACCACATTGAAAGAAAAGAATATTTGGAAATGTAAGATATCAATCTGAACTGAAATCTTTTTTTTTTTTTTTGAGACGGAGTTTCGCTCTTGTTACCCAGGCTGGAGTGCAATGGCGCGATCTCGGCTCACCACGACCTCCGTCTCCTGGGTTCAGGCAATTCTCCTGCCTCAGCCTCCTGAGTAGCTGGGATTACAGGCACGCGCCACCATGCCCAGCTAATTTTTTGTATCTTTAGTAGAGATGGGGTTTCACCATGTTGACCAGGATGGTCTCGATCTCTTGACCTTGTGATCCACCCGCCTCAGCCTCCCAAAGTGCTGGGATTACAGGCTTCAGCCACCGCGCCCGGCCTGAAATCATTTTTAATATTAATTCCTGTCTCTCCGATGCAGCCACCTTTTATATGATAGTGTGAAGTTGATCACATCTAATGTATGCAAAGATGGTATCTTCTTCATGTTATCCATTTCTCAACTAGTCTCTAGATTAATTTACACAATTATTTAACAGAGATTAATAAAAGATCAGACAATAGAATCAACCCAAAAGGCAACAGCATTTTTCTTTCTACAAGGGAACATGGCTTTCAATTTGTGCATCCTATGCTAATATGTTAGAGAATAAACAAAAACTACTTTCATCTCTGTAGCAAAAACATAAACACAAAGGCCTGGAAAATCACCATGCTGGCCAGGCTAGTCTCAAACTCCTGACCTCAAGTGATTCACCTGCCTCGGCCTCCCAAAGTGCTGGAATTACAGGCATGAGCCACTGCACTTGACTGGGTTTTTTTTCTCTTTTAATGTATTTACCTATTTATTTATTTATTTATTTATTTTGAGTCAGAGTCTCTCTCTGTTGCCCAGGCTGGAGTACTGTGGCTTGATCTCAGCTCACTGCAGCCTCCGTCTCGTTGGTTCAAGTGATTCTCCCACCTCAACCTCCCAAGTAGCTGGGATTACAGGTGCATGCCACCACACCCAGCTAATTTTTCTGTTTTTTATTAGAGATGGGGTTTCGCCATGTTGGACAGGCTGATCTTGAACTCCTGGCCTCAAGTGATCCACCTGCCTTGGCCTCCCAAAGTGCTAGGATTACAGGAGTCAGCCACTGTGCCCCACCCTTGAGGTGGGTTTTTAGACAACAATGGAGAGCTGACACACTGCTCCGTGGCAGGAATTGTGCTAGGTGAAGAGATTACCCTGGATAGTAAGACAGCCCCTGCTCTGAATATGCTTAGAGTCTACTAAGGCAAACAGACAGTAACGGGGAAATTTCAAAGTAAATGTCATCAGTGCTCTAACCGGGCACGGGGAGGACTTCAGGATCCACGGGAATTTAGAAAAGAGGCATCAATCCTAGAACTAGAACTGGGGAGCTGGTGAAGGCTTCCCAGAGGAGATAATTTCTAAAGGGAATTTATATGAAGAAAGAATTTTCCAGGCAACAGTAAGACAGAACATTCTTCTTTCCACGAAAAAGAAAGTGCATGTGCAAAGGCTGGAGGGAGTGAGATAGGGTCCCCGGGGAAGTAGGGGTAGTCATTTTAATTGCTGAGTAAAGATATCAGGGGTGGGCTGGAGGATTAGCTAAGGGAAATCTCTCATGGCCTTAAGAGAGTCCCTGGAATTTGGCCTTTAAACCTAGGGTGATGGGAACCAAAGGCGGAAATCCTCCCTTCCTTCTTTCCTTCCTTCCTCACAGGCAAGAGGAGGTTGTGTGCAATCGATACGGAGGGATGCTTCTCTGGTGCTTAGGTTGGCTAAAGGGAAGTTGTGTTATGCCAGGGTCCAAGATAACCGGTAAAGCAGGCAGGAAGAAGATGCCATTTCTGGAAAGGCGTTCCTTCTTCTTTTGTCACTTAATGAATACCTGAGGACAGAAAGCAGTTAAGACTCATCTTTTAAAGATGCTATACAAATTTTTTAAAGCCAGTGGTAAGGTTTCCCACTTTATTAGTTCTGTGGCCTTGGGCATATGACTAACCACTTTACGAGTCAGTTTCCTCATTTGTGGAGATAATGATTGTATTGACTTCACAGGCCAATAAGGACAAATGGCAGAAAGTCTTAGCACAGAGCCTGGCTCGGAATAAACCCTCAATATAAGGTCCTGAAATGGGGAAAGGCTGAGGGGAGTAACATGGAATTTAGCATTAAACCTGTGTTTGCATTCAGCCTCCATCACTTAGTGGTGCTTGCAACTGTGTGAACTTAGAGACAATTTAAAACTTGCTCAGACTTAGTTTCCACATCTGAAAAAATGTGGATGTTAATACCTACCTTGCAAGGTGGTGATGAGGGTTAAAGAATATCACAGACATTAAATGCACAGAGCCTGCCATATAGTACAAACGCACACCCACACAGAGGTGATAGTATTTCTCAAATGTATATCAACAATATTACTGTTAGACATTCTCTGTCACTCCAAAATCCTATTCTCTGACTAAAGCTACAAATCAGAAAAGTTAGATTACCAGAAATATATATATCTATATCTATAACATATTTAGCACAGTAGATCCATTCTACCAGTACCTATACATTATAACCTAATACAAATAAATGGCTATGATATGATATTCATATTTTATTTTGTTAATGCATGATAAAAAAAATTAACCTCTTCATTCAGATTCATTATTTGGAATGAAGAATTTAATATTCCCTAACTCCCTAATTTGGCACTTCGAGGAATTCCCTCTGCACACCAAGCCCCGAAATGTACTATTTTCTAGACCAAAAATGAAAACATGCATATATACAAGTGAGCTAAAAAGTTAAAACACAAGATGGTCATTTTGGTAAAAAATAATTCCCCCAAATAAGCAGCAGGTCATGTCCCTTAGAATATGTTACACTAGAAAGCTAGTAAAAATTCAGGCTAAGGAGGCAATTTAGAGTTCAAGTTTTATCACATAACAGCAAAGTTTTAGACTTCCCTTAAAAACAGACACCTTCAAAGTGAAATCTTGCCAGAAGGGTTGATTTTTTAATTACCTGTATATACAAACTTCTCTGTTTTAACATTCAACATATTCAAGATTAAATCTAAAAAGCTGCTATACCTGATTTATAAAACAAAATGATTTTAGGCTCAGAGAGAAAATCGGGACAATTTTATGCAGTCTCTCCCTGTCTACACTCTCCCATAGCATCACCAAGTTTTTGCTTTTTTAGTTTTTTGTTTTTGTTTTAGCTAATGCTACAACTGAAACCTGCACTAACTTAAAAGTTGACACTAAAGGCAGGAATTAAGAAATCCCTTTTTATGGCTTTTAAGCACTTGAATACTTTAGAACCCCCTTGAAAATGCCAGTGAACAAGTTTTATTCCTTGGGATGTTGCTTCAATTTGACTCTTGGTGAAATCTAGATTCCCTATTAAATAGATCCATGCTAATTTTGGAGAAAGTACAATTAAAAACCCTTAACGACTACTCTATTGACTCTGAAGAAGGGGACTTCAGCGTGTTGCTGTTTGGACTAGAGAAGCATTTCAATACCTTTCTGCAAACTAAGATAAAAAACAAAGAACGAGACCTACAAATAGAAATCTAGTAAGGCAGTTCTACCATGTAGGAAAACTCTGTTTCCCAAATGTTTTCTACACTGACATCTTATTAAAAAGATATGTTACCCGGTTTTTCCACATTCAGTGTATAAAACTCAACTTTAGATGTATATGTGCTGAGATGATCCATAGGACCACAACCATCCATTTGCATGGAAATCTCATCATTGCATTGCTTTGTGTCATTCTGGCTTCGATCACCCGCAGGCCGCTAGAGGGCTGGGAGGCCCAGGAACTCAGCACTCTAACTCCTCCATGACTTCCATGACAATTGTCCGTGGGCCCGTCAGGATCAGATTGCTCACGGTCTGGTAGTCTACGTGCAGGACATTGAGCCCGTTGACAGAGACGACAAACTGACAGACCTTCATTCCTGCTGCGGCTGCAGGGCCACTGGGGTCGACAGCCTGGATGTGGCATGGCTTACTTCCTCGCACCACAAAACCCCAGCCAACCGCGTCACCAACAATCGTGAATGTCTTCCTTGCATACGGAGCCCCGGGAGTAAGGAGTTCCTCAGACGTGACGGGTCTCTTCAGCACGGACTTGGGGTTGCAGAGCACAGGGGGGCTGCTGCTGAGGGTGGGGCTGCTGCTGAAGTACCCGCTGCTGCCACAGCTGCTCATGCTGCTCCTCCTCACTGCAGACACGATCTTGATCTCCTTGCTGGGGCTCACTGACATAAAGCTGGTAGATTTCCGATTGTCATGGCTCTGCTTCCTCAGGCAGAAGGGACTGTCATGAGTTTCCTGGGAGAAGGGGGACTTTTCACTGAGCAGCTCCATCAGTCTTCGCCTCCGCCGGAAGTTCATTCTGAACTGGTAGAGAAGATTGCTGTCCACAAATGGGTGCTTGTTGGACACATGCTGGATGATGCCATGCTCCATAAGCCGGTGGCAAAGCTGCTCTGCCTCTTTCCTCGTAGTGGCCTCACCTTCCTGGACCAGCCAGTCCAGGAATTCAGATGCCATGAAGGTACGCTCATACTTGACCCCTTCTTCCTCCCTGGGCTGGAGAAGTGTGTTTTCAGGGCTCATCAGCTTTTCATACAGCCTCTGTCCTCTCATAAAGGCCTTCACTTCGTTATCCAATGGGAAGGTGCCGTCATCCTTTCTAAAGCGGTAGAAGAGTTTGACATCCTTGAATTCCTTATGCTCATCACACACATGGTGAATAATGCCCCGGTCTGCTAATTTCTGCATGAGTTTGATTGCCGTCTCTCTGTCGGAAGCCTCTTTGTGTTCAATTAGCCAGTCAATCAGTTCTTTTGCGACAAAACAGTTTGGGTAGGTCTTGAGATGATGACGTCTATCTTTAATAACCTTTTCTTCATGCAGCCTCAGCCGTAGCTGTTCCCCGGTGACCAAGACCTCAGCCATGCGCTCCAGCTCCCTTTGCTGCGCCCCGCCACTCCCGCTGGTGCTGCTGTCACTGCCAGCGCTGCCAGCGCTGCTGCTCTCTTCCATGGTTGGAGCCCCGCCAGCTATCCAAAAATGAATCTTAATCTGTACATTTTACCTGTACCTTGTTACAAATATTAATTCTGAATGAATCATAACATGAAATGTAAAAGTCAAAAACATGAAGCTTTTTAAAAATAGCATACAAAGATATTTCATAACTATACATGTAAAAAAAGATTTCATAAAGAAGATACACAAATCACTAAGCACACAAAAAAATTAATCAACTAGTTCTCCACTGAAAACGGAAAAAATCAGAATGGTTTCCTTCCTTCAGATGACTGTATCACCTCTCCATCAAGGCTCCAGAACTGGGCTGAACCTGAGATTGCTAAAATGACAGAAGGAGTAATAGGAACGAAGTTCATTGAGCTACAGAAGTATCTTGTAACCCAATTTATGAAAGCTAACGATAACAAAAAATCATTTCAGGAGCTGACAGAGAAAATAGCCAATACAGAGAAGAATGTAACCAGCATGATATATCTGAAAAACACATTACAGGAATTTTATAATGCAGCCACAAGTATTAATAGCACAACAGACCAAGTGGGGAAAAGAATCTCAGAGCTTGAACACTGACTTTTTGAAATATGGAGGCAGGCAGAAATAGAGAAAAAATAATGCATATAATGAAAAGGAATGAACAAAACCTCCCAGAGATATTGGATTATGTAAAGAGACCCATTCTATGACTGACTGGTATACCTGAAAAAGATGTGGCAAATGGAACAAACCTGGAAAACGTATTTCAGGAAATCTTCTATGAAAAATTCCCCAACCTATGGACAGAGGGTAACATTCAAATTTTAAAAATTCAGAGAATGCCAGTAAGATACTCCATAAGAATATCATTTCCAAGACATATAATGTTCAGATTCTCCAAGGTAGGAATGAAAGAAAAAATGTTAAAGGTGGATGGAAAAAAGAGCCAGCTCACCTACAAAGAAAAGCCCATCAGAATAACAGTGGACCTCTCAGAAGGAATCCTACAACCTGGAAGAGATTCTGGGTCAGTATTCAACATTCTCAAAGAAAAGAACCTCCAACCCAGAATTTTATATCCAGCCAAACTAAACTTCCTAAGTCAGGAGAAATAAGATCCTTTTAAGACAAGCAAATGCTGAGGAACTACATCACCACCAAGCCTGCCTTACAGGAGCTTCTGAATAAAGCACTAAGTATGGAAAGGAAAGACCATCATTATCAGCCACTACGAAAACACACTGAAGTACTCAGATAAGTGACACAATAAAGTATCCACGTAAACAAGTCTGTGAAATAACCATCTAATATCATGATGACAGGATCAAATCCACACATATTCATATTAACCTTAGATGTAAATAGGCTAAGTGCTCCAATTAAAAGACACAGAGTGGAAAGTTAGAAAAAGAACTGAGACTAATTAGTATGCTGTTTTCAAGGGACTCATCTCACATGCAGTGACACATATATGCTCAAGATGAAGAGATGGAGGAAAATCTACCAAGGAAATAGAAAACAAACAACAACAACAACAGCAACAACAACAAAAAAAGCAGGGGCTGCAGTTTCTGACAAAACAGACTTTAAACAAACAAAGGTCGGAAAAGATAAAGAAGAGCAAAATCTTCAAGCTCCAGGCAGCTGATAGTGATAGTAAAGTCTGTCTCCAACCTATAACCATTGAACCCCTCTGGGATGCTAATGGCCCTGTTCAATGTACCATAGGTGAGTAACCAGGGAGCCTTCCCAGGTTTCTGCTGATACCAGGCTAAGGAGCTTCCGATGTTCTGACTGCACCCACAGATGAGGAGTCTCTTTTCCCTGAAGGCAAAAAAACAAGGAGTTCAGGGAACTGCATTAACGTAACTTCTCTGGAGGTACCTGAGACTGGAATAAAACAGGAAAGTCTCCCATATAAACTGCATCAAGTGCACTATCCTCATAGTATAACCACAGTCATTGATCTACATTGAATTATAATTACTGTTCTTGCTCAGCAGAGATGGCAGGCCACAGTAACCAACAAGGTTGAGAGAGTTTCAGTGCAGAGCCATCTCCTCCTTCCCCTCACCTGGGAGCTAGAGTAACAAAAGGCAGAAAAGATGAGCTGGAGCTTCCATGAGTCTTTCTGTGACCTAACTGAGCAGATCTGCCCCAGGCATTGATATGGGCTCTGGACAGTAGTGTGGCTGGGAGAAACATGCCCCAAAACATGGGAAGGTGCTGGGCTTCCAAGTGCAGAAACCACCTCCCTCCTTTTCTTCGCACTGAGCAATCTGTGCCCAGGTGGTTAAGCCAGAAAGGTTATTGGCTCAGCATGAGGGTACACCCTCTTCCCTCTGGACACACAATTTAATCTCTGTCCTCCTACCTCACCAATCACCTGGGCTCAGATAGATTACATTTAATACAAACCTCTTGAAAGAAAAAATAAAAATCAGTGGTTTCTTTTTTCTCAATCTTCCCCCAGCACGCCCAGCCATCTTCCTTGTCACATGACTGTACCTGGCCGAAGCCATTGATCAGAAATTCATCTTCCATATGAATAATTCCTCTGCAGCTTTGCCATCTTTTCTATGAGCCCTGAAAATGTCCTAGTCTTTGGAAGAACTAGTAAAGGACAACAATTTGTTAGGCCAAGCATCGTGGGTGCATGAATGACCACAGCTGCAAAGATAAGTAGACTCCAGGTTCAAACTCTTCAGTGTGTGATTCCACTCCCTGCAGACAGACAATGGTGCTGTCCAGATGACCAGGAAAATTTTGGGGTGGAATCTTCTCTTCTCTAGATCATTCCATTCTGCACAACACGACCATTCACCCAGATTCACACTCTTTTCTCTTTAACAGTTTGAAAACCTCTGTTCACATCACAGATGAAAACAAGAATCTTATCTGGGGTTTCCGTGTGTTCCTCAGAACTATGAACATGGAGTGGTGCGTGAGGTTTCCCCAAAGAGGCTGAGAAACTCCTTGTACTATATCCCATTTAAAATTATTAACAAAAATTGTGAAAATTTGTGTTTTTTTAATCTGAATATCTAAGTAATGTATTCACTTTTCTCTCTTGGCTAACAACACTGAAATATCAATTATCTGACTCAATAAATTCACTATAGTTATTACTTATGAGTATATATTATATATCATTATATATGAAACATAATGAATTGAGTACAATAATGTTCAATTTTTATTATATGTTTTTAGGAAATACAACCTAACATATCACTTGAGACAAAATATACAGGTTCTGAGAATCGTGATTTTCTTATCTCCTAAAGACTGAGTATGAAAAAGGAATAAAAAAGGAAAAGGGAATATTGTTCATGTAACAAGCAGTTTAATTCACTCTAGTTTTTAAAATTATACTTTAAGTTCTGGAGTACATGTGCAGATCTTGCAGGGTTGTTGCATACGTACACACATGCCATGGTGGTTTGCTGCCTCCATCCCCTCATCATCTACATCAGGCATTTCTCCCAGTGTTATCGATCCCCAACCTCCCCATCACCATCATCTCCCACCATCCCTCTGCTAGCCCCTCACCTCTTCAACAGACCCCAGTGTTTGATGTTCCCTTCCCTGTGTCCATGTGTTCTCACTGTTCAATGCCTGCCTGTGAGTGAGAACATGTGGTGTTTGGGTTTTCTGTTCTTGTGTCAGTTTGCTGAGAATGACGGTTTCCAGGTTCATCCATGTCCCTACAAAGGACATAAACTTATCCTTTTTTATGGCTGCATAGTATTCCATGGTGTATACGTGCCACATTTTCCTTGTCCAGTCTATCATTGATAGGCATTTGAGTTGGTTCCAGGTCTTTGCTATTGTACACAGTGCTGCAATGAACATACGTGTGCATGTGTCTTTATAATAGAACGATTTATAATCCTTTGAGTATATACCCAGTAATGGGATTGCTGGGTCAAATGGTATTTCTATTTCTAGATCCTTGAGGAATTGCCACACTGTCTTCCACAATGTTTGAACTAATTTACACTCCCACAAATAGAGTAAAAGCATTCCTATTTCTCCACATCCTCTTCAGCATCTGTTGTCTCCACATTTTTTAATGATTACCATTCTAATTGGCATGAGATGGTATCTCAATGTGGTTTTGATTTGCATTTCTCTAATGACCAGTGATGATGAACATTTCTTCATATGCTTTTTGGCCACATAAAATGTCTTCTTTTAAAAAGTGTCTGTTCATATACTTTGCCCACATTCCATGCTCATGATTAGAAAGAATCAATATTGTGAAAATGGCCATACTGCCCAAAATAATTTATAGATTCAATGCTATCCCCAACAAGCTACCATTGACCTTTGTCACATAACTGGAAAAAACCACCTTAAACTTCATATCAAACCAAAAAATAACCTGCATAGCCCAGACAATCCTAAGCAAAAAGATCAAAGCTGGAGGCGATCACGCTACCTGACTTTAAACTATACTACAAGGCTAAAGTAATCAAAACAGCATGGTACTTGTACCAAAACAGAGATATAGACCAATGGAACAGAACAGAGGCTTCAGAGGCAATGTCACACATCTACAACCATCTGATCTTTGACAAACCTGACAAAAGCAAGCAATGGGGAAAGGAGTCCCTGTTTAATAAATGGTGCTGGGAGAACTGGCTAGCCATGTGCAGAAAGCTAAAACTGGACCCCTTCCTTACACCCTACACAAAAATTAATTCCAGATGGATTAAAGATTTAAACATAAGACCTAACACCATAAAAATCCTAGAAGAAAACCTAGGCAAAACCATTCAGGACATAGGCATAGGCAAGGACTTCATGACTGAAACACCAAAAGCAATGGCAACAAAAGCCAAAATAGAGAAATGGGATCTAATTAAACTTAAGAGCTTCTGCACAGCAAAAGAAACAATCATTAGAGTGAACCAGCAACCCAGAGAATAGGAAACAATTTTTGTAAGCTATCCATCTGACAAAGGACTAATATCCAGAACCTACAAAGAACTAAAGCAGATTTACAAGAAAAAAACAGCCCCCAATC